CCTGAGGACACTCCCACTCCGCGCCTTGAGGCACAGTGGCGGATATCAATACATATGCAAATGCACATGCAGCAACGATTCCAAGAGGTCGACAATCCGACCATTTCAAGTATCATTTTGATATGGCCCGTGCGGCCGAGGGGACTCCCAGAACAGTCCGACCTCGAGACGGTAGCGGGCGGTGCACAGCAGAGGGGCACGTTTTGTACCAATTTATTAGCAGAGGTTTTTTGGGGGGGCTGGGGAGGTTTGCACGGGAGGTTGAAGAGGCACCTGGATGCCCCCGGGGGCCTCTTGGGGCGTATTGGATGCGTTTTGGGCCGTCTGGAAGCCATCGTGAGCGGCTCGGTGCGGTCTTTGGGCCACTCCAGGCTCTCTTGGGCTCCTCGTGGGTCATTTTGGAATTGAGTTGCCCCAGGCGCCCCCCAAAAGAGAGGGAAGGGGGAGGCATGCATTCTGACCCAGGACCCCACCTGGGACTCCCCCCGGACCCCCCTCGTGACCGCCCCCCCCAAGGCGTATAAGGGATCAAATGGAACGGTTTTCCTCTCGATCTAGTTACGACTGCGATTGCGACCTGACTCGATTCACTTCGAGTCGACGAGCTTGGCGCGCAGCAGAGGGTCTTGGCAGAAACTCCCAGAATTGAAATATATTTGAACTGAAAGATCGTCTCTGAAGACCACCTGGTGATGACGGACCCAGAATTTGCTTTTCACACATGCCTACAAGGTCGGTGGATTGTTTGCCAACCCGGAAAGGCCAACGAAGTTGGGGATCAACGGGGCCGCCATACATTCCAGTATTTGGAGGCGAGGGGAGGGCCGGTTTTCAGGCTGCTTTCGGCCAGCAGTTTCGCGCAGTTTCATGGAGTTCCTGGTGAGCGACTCGCTGCCGCCAGTTGCGACCTTCGAAGACGACGACGACGACCTGGCCCAGCGACTGACGACCGACGACCCACCCATTTGGCGACCCCCCGGCGAACGAACGGCGAGCGACAAGGAAGACGACCAGCTCGACGATCGACGACCGACGACGACCCACTTCGCTGGCATTTGAACCCCTCCCTCCCCGCCGGCGAGCGGCGAGCGACGAGAAGACGACCGGCTCGACGATCGACAACTGACGACGACGACCCACCCCGTTGGCGTTCTCCCCCTCCCCCCTGGCGAGCGGCGAGCGACGAGACGACGACCCGCCCGACGATCGAAGACCGACGACGACGACCCACCCCGTTGGCGTTCGCCCCCCCCCCCCCCGGCGAGCGGCGAGCGGCGAGAAGACGGCCGGCCCTCAGGCCCTGGCGACTACGGCGCCGCGCCGGCGCCGCCCCCGGCGCTCGCCGCCGGTCCCCACCGCCGACGCCGCGCCCGATCGACGGGCTCCCTCTGACGGGCCTGTTTTCCACCACCACCACCATGTGAATTGGAGGAGGAGGAGGAGGAGGAGGAGGAGGAGCAGGAGCAGGAGCAGGAGGAGGAGGAGGAACAGGAGCAGGAGCAGGAGCAGGAGGAGGAGGAGGAGGAGGAGGACCCCCTCCCCCTCCAACTTCTGGTGGTGGTGGTGGAAAACAGGCCCGTCACTCCCGGCGTGCCGGCCCGCCGACCTGCACGGGGGGTTCCCGGCCTTCGCCTGCCCGGACAGGGGGTGGAGGTGGAGGAGGAAGGTTGGAAGTAAGATAAGGAGGAGGAGGATGAAAAAGATAGGGAGGAGGAGGAGAAGGAGGAATAAGATAGGGAGAAGGAGGAGGAGGAGGAAGAGGAGGAGGACCAGTGTAAACCCAAGACTCATCGCCGATGTTGAAATACACCCTGCCGCCAAGATCCCTCTTTCCCAGGCCCCTGCATGGGGTCATTTCCACTGAGGGAATTGCCGCGTTGGGGGACAACCGTGTGAACATCTTGAAGCGTGCGAAAACACCATTCTCAGGACTTCAACGCCAAGAGTTAACGTGACTGTGAATTGCAACTTCTTAGCGATCATGAATCATGCCAAAACGCCATTTCGGGGATCTCAACACCTCGAATCAACGTAACTGTTGCGCCCTGACAATCTTGAATCGTTCCAAAACACGGTTCCGATACGTTAACAGTCAGAATCGTTCAAATTGTTGCACATGTTTCGAACGAATGTGCGCGGCGCTAAGGAGAGAGCCACATTTTGAAAAAGACCCGCTCTCAATTCGTGAAACTCTTGTAAATGTGTCGAACGAATGTGCGCGGGGCTTAGGCGAGAACCACATTTCAAAAACGAGCCGCCCTAATCCGTGAAATCTCAATTCTTTTAAGCGACTGTGCACGGCGCTAGGGCGAGAGCCACAGTTTGAAGGCGACCCGCCCTCAATCCGTGAAGCTCTAACAAGTGTTTAAGACGAATGCGCGCGGCGCAATAGGCGAGAGCCACATTTCGAAAACCGCCTGCCCTCACTCAGTGAGACTCTGGCAATTTGTTTGAACTATGTAAAACGAATGTACACGGCGCTAGGGCGAGAGCCACAGCTTGAAAGCGACCCGCCTCCAATCCGTGACGCCACACTTTTAAAACCATGATGCACGGCGCGCAGGCGAGAGCCTCGTTTTGAGAGCGACCCGCCCTCCTTTTGTGAAGCCGTTGTCGATTTCAGCAACAGGGTCAAACGTGGTGAGGGAGTCTCGGGCGAAACGGCCGGCCCGCCCTTTCGACCAGCCTCGGGGTGCGACAGCGAGGAGTGATTTACAGGGGAAGGGGAGAGAGGAGGGAGGCAGGCAGGGAGGGCGTCGGCCACGCGCGAGGAAAAACAACAACAAAAGTGACATAAACATAAAAACTCGGAGGTCCGCGCGGATTTCTCGGATCGGCGCTGGGGCCCCCCGGCGGCGCCTCTGGCGCCGCCCCCGGCGCGCTCCGCGCGCCAGGGAGGGGGGTCCAGCGCCGATCCGAGAATTCCACGCGGACCTCCGAGTTTGCATGTTTGCGTGACTTGTTGCTCCCCTTGATGCAGCAAAATTGTGCAGCTGTGCTCGGGATGGCCTCGCGCGGCGGCGAAGTCCGAGCCCCGCACTCGCGGACCGACGGTGCAGGCAGAGCGGCGGTCGGCGGGGGCGGGGCCTGGCACTCGTCGGGCGCCCGACGAAGCCCGAACGCTGCCCACGCCGCCCCTCGATCCAGGAGAGTCGACGGCTGGTGGGTGCAGGGTGGGGCTGTCGCCACCTGCACGCGGGGGCGCGGCCGCGCTCTCGGGCGTTTTTCTCCGTCGGTTCCTGGGCGCTCTCTGCTGCCCCGGGCGATGCTGCAGCGGGTGCGCCTCGCCGAGAGATTTTTTCCTCCTCCTCCTCCTCCTCCCCTCCCCTCTCCTCTCCTCCTCCTCCTCCTCCCCCCTCCCCCCGCCTCCTCCGCCCCCGCCCCTCCTCCCTCCCTCCTCCCCTCCTCCCTCCTCCTCTCCCTCCTCCTCCTCCTCCTCTCCTCCTCCTCCTCCTCCCTCCTCCCCCCTCCCCCCCCTCCCCCTCCCCCTCCCCCCCTCCCCCTCCCCCTCCCCTCCCCTCCCCCTCCCCTCCTCCTCCTCCTCTTCCTCCTCCTCTTCCTCCGCCTCCTCCTCCTCCTCCTCCTCCTCCTGCTCTGGCGCGTAAGGGTCCCTACCCAATCTCTCCGCCCTCCGTGGGTAACGGCCGTGCGCATTGGGGGGGCCTTCGGCTTGGGCCCCCCCTCCGCATGCTGGTGCTTGCGTGCATTTCGTGGCGATCGCATCGCAATCCCCCACGTCTCGGGCGACGGGGGCCTCCCATGCCCCAAAGCCGTGCGGTGACGGACCGCGCGGTGAGGTCGTTGCGGATGCCGAGGTCACCACGCGGTCCGTCAACACACGGTCTCGGGGCCTCCGATTTGGGGCAGGGAGGAAGCTCGGGGGTCCTCGACGAACATAGTCAAGACGCTGAAATAAGGACCACCCTGGGCTCTGGAGGGGCTCGGGTTTTAAGGTCGGTACTTAGATTTCGGTCTTGGAACCTGTTCGTGACCGAGGTGTGCCGTGGCCAGAAAGCCCTTTCGTTCCTTATTCAGTTCTCCTTGTTGCAGCACGGCGACGACTCTGCAACACGCCTTCCGTCACCAGCTTGAAACATATCCCTGTCCCTGTGCTTGACGTCATCATGCCTCGGTGCCGATCTCAAGGATCCCCTCAGCTTCTGAGGTCACCGCCCCGAGATTGTCATCGCCCTGGGCTTGCCGATCGTGGGAATAGGCATATGGTCGGACCGAGGTGTAAGATCGAGGTAGGTGTAAGATCGAGGTCGGCTCGCGGAGGGTACCCGAGTGTTCTTCGTGTTTGTTGGATGTTCTGGTGCATTCTGGGGAGGGTGGCCCTTGAATGTTCTGTGTGCGGTGGCCGGTGCAGGACCTCGTGCTCTTGAAGGACGCTCTTCTGGCCCAGGTCCGGCCGCAAGTTCGAGGCTGGTTGCCTTGGCCCGCCACGGAGCCACGGAGCCACCAGCCCGCCGCACCCCTCGGGCGGGCAGTAATGAGGGGTGGCCCGACTGGGGGCTGAAGAAAAAGGCCCCAAAGGGCCCCTTGTGGGCACCAGCTGGCTCCCAAAGGGGGCTCGAAGCGCCCCTTTCGGGCCGTTTCTTCACCCTCCATGTGGGCCATCCCCGAGCCGAGGAGGAGGAGGAGGAGGAGGAGGAGGAGGAGGAGGAGGAGGAGGAGGAGGAGGAGGAGGGAGAGGGAGGAGGAGGAGGGGATGGGAGGAGGAGAAGAGGAGGAGGAGGAGGAGGAGGAGGAAGCATGAGGAGGAGAGGAGGGAGGAGGAGGAGGAGGAGGAGGAGGAGGAGGAGGAGGAGGAGGAGGGGGGGAGAAAGAGGAAGAGGACCCCGCTCAGCCAGTGCCCCTCGCAGCCAGGACGCTGCACTGAGATGAGGACCGCCTCGGGCTCGGGCCGTCGGGCCGCACCCGCATCCGAGCCGAGGCTCCCCGCGTGGAGGATGCCGCCGCGCCGCGCCCGCCCTGCGCGCGCGCGTGCTGCGCCCGAGGCCGCCGGGCAGCCCTCCCGCCGGGAGGCGCCGGAGCTCCCGCGCGGGGCGCCGCTGGTTGTGGAGCCGCCCGGCCTGCTCGGAGGCCTCGGCCCTCCCTCTCGTCGACGACACCGAGCGCGCTCCACTGCTCGCAGAGTGCCTACTGTCAAAATGCCGAAAGAAGTGCCAGTTTTCGGGGGTGGACAGACCTCCTACCCTGACACGTCGATGGGGCGTCGCGGCCGTCATTTTTGTGGGTCCAGGTCCGTCGGTTTCGGTCCTAGGTCGTTCTCACTAAGGGGAGGTTTACTAAAGGGAGGTTTGTCCACCGCCGAAGTTTGGGTTCTGAAGGGGCTCGATGTTCCTTCGGTTCCTCCAGTGCTGTTCCTCTTGCCCTCCTGGGGCACGGACTCGCTTACAGGGCCAAGAAGGGGCTTCGTTCCTCATTTAGCGTTCCTTCTCGCAGCGGCCCGGCTGTACTCGCAAACGCCCGAAACAAAACATGTCTTCCTCTACGTGGCGCATCGCAGGTCTCCCGCGGCGGACCCCGGCCTTTTGCGAGTGGCTGCTCTGCGGGCAGTGGAACGCGCGTGACTATACACGCACGGCCGCACCGAGGGAATTATACAGTCAACCCGTACCGTGGGGACGCACGAGAAAGGACGCAGGGGCCTCGGAAGGCCATCCCGAAGCTTTCTGGAGCGGGGCGCGGCCGACGAGAAGGTGGCCAAGGATGGACCGAGGAGGGAAGGATGCAGAGGTACCCTCGAAAAGGTTGCCCATCCTTACCATGCGCGTCGACCGTAAGGTCGGGGTCGGCTCGGGGAGGGTTTTCGTGGCGCCCTTCGCTCGCCACGGCGAGCTCCATCGGCCTCTGTGCTCGTGTCCTCGTCGCCGCCGTCCTCCGAGATCTCGTGGGGTGGCGCAGGGCGTCCTTGGCGCACCCGCCCTGCGAGTGCAGCTCCTGAGCGGCGCGTGGCGCAGTTCTCTTGAAGGTGTGACGTCCTTGGCCCTCCTCTTCCTCCCTTCCTCCTCCTCCTCCTTTTCCTCCCCTCCTCCTCGTCCTCCTCCTCCCTTCCTCCTCCTCCTCCTCCTTTTCCTCCCTTCCTCCTCGTCCTTCTCCTCCCTTCCTCCTCTTCCTTGTCCTCCATCTCTCCTGTTTGGCAGGCGCTTGCTTCCGTGCGCCAGGCTGTGTCTCCTTTTCGGCTCGGTCTCCCAGGCACCGCTCTCCGGCGCCGCAGAGGGCCCGGCCCATGTGGCCCATCAGCAGACCGCTCTGTCTGTCTGTCTGTCTGTCTGTCTGTCTGTCTGTCTGTCTGTCTGTCTGTCTGTCTGTCTGTCCGTGCATCCGGGGGGAGGGTACAGTGGGGGCGCGCATCAAGAAACCATATGCTTTCCGTGAGGGTATCCTGGGTTTCTTCTCTCCTCGCGCTGCGCGGTGACTTCCCGCAGCCGTTGAAGGAGCTGCTGTGTTCAGGGTGCTCTAGGTTTCCCCTCAAGGTGCACCTCGCGCACGGGTTCTCAGGGTTGGGTTTCTTGCGAGGGTTTCTTGCGGCCGCGCCCGCACGGTACCCTCGAAGGTTCTTCGGTTTGGCCGGAGGGGGGCTTCATGTTCTTGAGGGGTGTGCTTTTGCCCTGGGTCCGGCCGTGCCCGCCGGTCGTTGAAAGGAGGTAGTTCCCAGATGCCAATCTCGGGGGCCCCCAAACGGAGCGGTGACCACACCGTGCGGTGAGTCGGTGGGGACTCGGAGTCACCGCACGGTTTTGGGACTCGGGCCGTTCTCCGAGGACGTCTGGGGCGACGGGGGCCTCCAGGGTCCCAAAACCGTGCGGTGACGGACCGTGCGGTGAGGTCTTGGGGGATTTCGAGGTCACCGCACGGTGTGTCACCGCACCGTTTCGGGACTCCAAACAATCTCCTGTGGCCGCCTTCCTGATTTACGTGTCGAGCGGTTTTCCCTCTTCCCTCCTCTTCGGGGGGCGTGCGGAAGAATGCCCAATCCATTTTCAACGCCTTCGTTTTTCATGCTTCTACCCACTTCTTCCACCGACGGGGGTCCGAGAGAATGACCCTTCGCCGGAGTGACCTTTGCTGCGGGCCCACTGGGGTCGCCCGATCGCCGAGCGCGGTGCGATGGTAGTACCGTCTTGCGCGCTCGTGTTCCCCCCGCGGCTCCCCAGAAGCCGCGCAACAGAGGTCAATCTCATCGGCGGCGAGCGTTGGGGGGAAATGATCTCAGAAGGCTCGGAAGTCCCCTGGCCTTCTGAGAAGTTTTCTAAGCCTTCCCGAAGACACGGAAGACATCAGAAGGCGCGGGGGGTTTGGGGAAGTCCCGTTGCCTTCTGAGAAGGCCTTCTCCTTCTCATTTCCACCTCTCGCTCGCTGCCGGTCTTGCCCAGGATCACTGCTGCGTGTAGCCGCTCTCAGTATCGTCTAATCGATCCCTATCCCCATCCTCAGCCCCAATCAGCCAGTTAGTCCAGGCTACGCCCACATGGATTGGGGTCGGTCAAGCGCTCGCTGTGACGGCAAGGGGCCTGAGGGAAACGTGTCCCGGGGTTCTTCGCTGTTTTCGGCCTCCCAGGGCTTAGCAGAAACGAGCCAGGATCAAGAGCTGGCCCCTGGGGGGAGGGCCCCTGGGGTCCAGGACCCGTTTCCCACAGGACCCGCTGCCTTGATGCCAACGTGCGGCCCGCGCGCCCGATTCGGCACGATGGGCCTCGGGCACGAATCTGGGCCTCCCAAATGGGATCGGAGCATGTGGGGTCTGAGGATCCCGCCGCATCGCCGATGCATCGACGATGCGGCCCGATGTTGAGCCCGACTTCTACCACGACCGCGCCAACGCATCGGCGATGCGGGGCGTTCCTCCGACCCCTCCTAGTCCGACCCCATCTGGGAGGCCTCTCATAATTATGCGGCTGGATCAAGGCCAGCAGCGGGTCCTTGTCCATTTTGAGCAGGGCTCGCTGTCGGTTTCGCCGCAAGGGCGCCTGCTCAACAGCGGACGCTGCCGGTTTCGGACAATGTTTGTTGTTGGGCGGCCTGCCTGTATTCTCCTTGCCCATTTCTGGCGTACCAAGGAAGCACCCGAACCAGCACAAGGGCAAGAGGAGGGCACACGGAGATGATGATCGGACGGAAGGAGGAAGGAGAAGGTGGAGGAGGAGGAGGAGGAGGACGTGGAGGAGAGGGGAAAGAGGACGGGGAGGAACAAGACGAGCAACAGGGGCGGGTCAGGAGGAGGAGGAGGAGGAGGAATTTGACAAGGACGAGAAAGTCGAGGAGGAGCAGAAGGAGGAGCAGGAGGACGATGAGGAGGAGGAGGAGGAGGAGGAGGAGGAGGGAGGGGTCAGAAGCCGTGGAGGAGCACTGGTTTCCTTTGGAATTTGTTGGGTCTGTCCAGGTTTTGCCTGGGGCCCAGTTGGTGCCCAGTCATGGGCACCTCGTGGGCGTCCCGTGCGCTGAGTCAGTCTGTCGACGTTTGGCTCGGTGCCCGCCGGGTGCCAAGCCGTGGGGGCCTCGAGGGCGCCCCGTGCGCTGCGCTGGTCCGTCGAGGTGTCGGTAAGTCCGGCCTGTCCCTCTAGAGGGGGAATGTATATATAAATATATATATATATATATACGAAAGAGCGTGTTCTACCGCTCCTGGCGGAAAACTGGGGGGGGTGGGTCACTACCGGTTCGAACCCCCCCCCCCCCCTCGAAAACCGAGTGGGGGTGCGGACAGTGGTGGGGACGGTGTTGGTGGGGACAGTGGTGAGGGGACAGCGGGACAGTGGTGGGGACAGTGGGACAGTGGGACAGTGGTGGGGACGGTAGTGGTGGGGACAGTGGTGGGGACAATGGTGGGAACAGGGGGGACAGTGGACAGTGGTGGGAACGGTGGTGGTGGGGACAGTGGTGTGGGGACAGTGGGAATGAGGTGGAAACACTGGGACAGTGGAGGGTACAATGGTGGTGGGGACACTGGTAAAGGCGTCGGCGAGGACGGCGGTGGGACAATGGGACAGAGGTACAGTGGGGACAGTGGTGGGGACAGTGGGGACAGTGGTGGGAACAGTGGGACAGCTCAGTGGGACAGCGGAGGAGTCAGTGGGACAGTGGGGACAGTGGGGATAGGCAGTGGTTGGGTCCGTGGAGACAGTGGGGAGAGTGGAACCGTGGTGGGAACAGTTGTGGGAACAGTGGGGACAGTGCGACAGTGGTGGGGGCACTGGTGGGGACAATAGGGACGGTGGTGGAACCAGCGGGGGCAGTGGTGGTGAGGACAGTGGTGCTGGGAACAACAGTGGGGGATGTCATGCGAGCGGTGGTAGGGACCGGGAGTCGTTTGCTGGCGGTGCGTGGGGGGGGGGGGTCGAACCGGTAGTGACCCCCCTCCGGTTTTCGAGGGGGGGGGGGGGGGGGGTTCCAACCCTAGTGACCCCCCCCGGTTTTCCGGATCCGGAGGGGGGGGGGGGGGGGGTTCGAACCGTAGTGACCCCCCCCGGCTTTCGAGGGGGAGGGGGGGGGGGGGAGGGGTTAGAGGAGGGGGGGGGTTTTGCCGGAGGGAGGGGGGGGGGGGGGGGGGTTCCAGCAGGGGGGGGGGGATTTTCGGAGGGGGGGGGGAGACCCCCGGGCTCCGGAGGAAAAGGTTGGCAATTTTCCACAGTAAAGCGGCGGTGGATCACGCTCTCTCTCTCTCTCTCTCTCTCTCTCTCTCTCTCATATATATATATATATATATGTGTATACTTATGTATCTATATATGTATGCATGTGTATATCACTATATATATATATACATATATGGGAGATCCCGGGCCCCGGGCCCCGGGCCGGAACCCCCCTTGTATATAGGGTGCGGCCCTCTCCCGGGGCGCCCTTCCGGCGGCCCCCGCGCGTTCCAGCCCGCCCAAGAGGGCTCCAGGAGCGCCGAGAGAACCCCAGGATCGCTTCAAGACCGCAAAAGATCGCTTCCAGAAGGGTCAAGAGGCGCTCAAACCGCCCCAAGAGGCCTTCAAGAGGCCCCCCACGAGCGCCCCGGGAGACCAAAATGGCCCCATTCCCTTCGTAAAACGTACATTTTTACGATATCAGCTCCCTTAGCTGTCGGAGCG